ACCATTAATTATTTATTTGGTATTTTATTATTATTGTTGTGACTTCAATCATAACTTAATCAATAACATATATCAGATACAATTAACCTTACCCTGAATCGACAATATTAAGTTAGCATATTTTGTTGATCGTATACCCTAAACCATCAATACATTATACACTAATCACATACCTTATACCCTAATCATATATCCTTAAGAGTTGTGATATTGCTAGTATAGTTAATTTAAAGTGAAATTAATAATTTAATTTTCAAAACATAGATAAAAAAGTAATATTTGCTATACCCTAACCACACCCTGTGTACCGTAGAACTCACCATATATAACCTTCAAAGAATATAAGAATAAATTTAGTAAGTCATGCCCTCCGTATAAAAATTAAATATTCATATTTCAAAGGTTAAAATTTTCAAAACCAAAACGTTGAAAACAACAAATTTGTTTCCTATTTTCATTTCAAAAAAAAAAATTATCCTCTTCTTTCACTTTCCATAAATTAGAAACACTTGATTTTCCCTCCTCTTTCTCTTCCATAAAATTGAAAAATTTTAAATTTCCCACTTCCTTCCTCCATTTCACAAAGAGTTGAAAACTCAAAATTTTCCTCCTTATTTCTCTTTCATAATTAATAGAACCCAAATTTTCCGCTTCTTTTTCTTCCTACAAATCAAATCTACCAAAATTTCTCTTTTCTTTTAAAAGCATCAAAATACCAAATACATTACTTTAATTTATTTATATTTAATTGATAACTTTATTGAATATTTAAATTAATCAAAATTTTAATTTATATATTATATCAATATTTTCCATGATCTTAATTATTAATTCTTCAATTTGAATATTGACATTGTGCTGAATTTATATTTTATATTTATTTTTTTAATTTGTTAAAGAACTTAGTGTTCAAGTGATCTTCATGTTCCAATTTTTGTAATTTTCTCAAAATAAATAATATCAAGTGAGTTTCATATTGTTTAAATTCCCTTTACGAAATAAAAAAATAATTTTACCTAAGTTTAGAATGAAAAACTTTATTATTCAAGTGGATTAGGTGAAGTTCGGATTGATTCAGTCGGGTTACGGGTTAGTCAGTCAGATCGATCGGGTTCGGATTAATCGAGTTGCGAGTCAATCGAATTCGGGTTCATCGGATTGCGGGTCGGGTCGGGTTACGTATTGTTGACTTTTAGTGAATTCGAATTGCGGGTCAAGTTAATCAGGCGGGTTAAAATTGGACCGGACCGGTGAAACCGAGACTCAGCCTCCAATCCGATCATGTGAGTCTATTTAACTGCAACGGATGAAATAGACAGTTCATTCGCCGACCGACAGGTTAACCGGACGAGCTTTTCGAACCGCTCGACCGGTTATACTAGATTCTTTACACTCTGTTTTTTAGGAGAGGAAAAGGAGGGGAAGGGAAGGGAAAGTGTGGAGGGAAAATTATATTCCCAATAAACTTTCTCCTATTTCCAAAGCCTTCTACAGAACCAAGGGAATGGAAAAGGAAAAGAAAATTAACTGTTTGTCCCACCCCTCCAACTGGCCAAGTAAGTAGGTTCAAAAAATTAAGGCTTCTTCTTTTAACAAGGACTTAAAAGAGAGATCGTAGCAATATAAAAAAATTGTGGGGTTGATTTTATACCTTGAGTTGATCATTAATAAAAGAGAAAGATTTATGATGATTCATTTTCAATTGATGACTTCTTATTAACTTGCATTATATTCTTGTTATTATAAGTTTATAACATAATATACTCTTATTAACTTGTATTATATTCTTGTTATTCTAACATAATATATTCAACTTGTATTGGTTTGATTGGGGTCAGGCCGGTTTGAGACGTTTTAGACATTTTCTAAATATATATACAAATGAGGTAATAATTAAAGATTTAATGACTGAAATAAAACTTATCTTACATATATTTATTAAAAACTTATTTTCCACAAAATAAATCTACCTAATTTTTAATACAAAATATATTTTAAACATATTTACTCTTACATCACCAATAAAATAACATATCCATCACACTTTTCAATATTTCTTTTTGCTTTTAAGCTAGTGTCTATTAGTGGAGATGGAAATGTAACTATTTAAGTCCCTTTTTCCATTTTCGTTTTCTTGTGAAAATTTTGTTCTTTTTTAACGTGGGAATTATGGATTTAGGAAATAACTATGTATTTATAAAAAAAATATTGTGTTAGTTTTTTTTTAATTTGAATAAAGAAAAAATCAGAATATGAGGGAGTTGGGATTCGAGCTGAATACCTCATGGTGAGAAGTTTGGAACTTAAACTAATAGTGCTATCACTAATTTGTGTTGTAAAACCTAACAATCTTAATATAAATATGTCACTTAATGTTTAGTTTTGAAATAATCTAATTAAATAGTGTTCTTAACTTTTTCAAAAGCACATATATTATACTTAAGTAATTTATATTTCTGTAAAATGATAATATTTACTTGTCTTATAAATTATTCGTTATAAATATATTAGAATCAATATATAATTATAACCATAACACTATTAATGGTATCTACTTATAATATTTTTATTTATTAGACACCGATTTATTAACGGGTTTATAACAGCTTAGTATCGGTTAAACCAATAAAATATGAAGCGCTTACTATACCGGTTGATACACTTGTTCGGTTGTGACAACCTTGATTTTAGAGGTTTTTTTATGGGCTTAATTGCAAGTTTGGTCACTCGAATTGCTACAAAATTTCACGTTTGCCACTCAAATTAATTTATTTCATTTATAGTCACTTAAATTAGGTTAACAGTTCAAGTTTGGTCACTGGCCGTTAGTCTCCGTTAACTTTTGCTGATGTGGCGGTCAACTCTTATAGTTGACCGTTAAATGCATGAGGTGGCAATTAAAAAATTAAATTTTGGCCCAATTTTTCACTTTTGTTTAAACGAACCACTTTACCAAAAACAACAAAAATAGGTTTTTGTTTTATTATTTGGATCAAAATCAATCACTTCCCTTTTCTCTGTACACGAGCTCCTTCCTTCCCTTTTCTTATTCACTCTTCTGTTGCTCCGCCATTGTTGGCCACCTGATAAGCTATTTATGTTTATTAAACCTTTTCGGTTGGGGAAGTATAGTCGGCTCGCCTGCCGAATCATTTACCTTTCATTCTTCTCTTTACAAACGAGATTGCCAAATCCAAATCCACCCTTTCCCATCTTTAGTTGTTCGTCGCAAACCATACCACCGCAATCTTCAATCTGTGTTCCCAAATCTGATCCATCGCCCACCGCTCGGCCTAACCCAGTAGTCAGCACCAATCCTTCTTCCCAAAAATACCAGGTCGAGATCGATCTCTGCTTTGCCAAACCTCCAGATCTGTCGCGTCCCTCCATCTTCCGCGGATCTCTCTCTGTTGCCGTCTCAAACCCAACTCTTCAGAAGCCCAGAAACCACCAAATCCCATCCATCTTCCGCCGCAAATCAACACCATCCTTTCCACATCTCTTCCCCAAATTCCCAGATCGAGCAATCCCTTGTATCTTCCGTTCTTCGCGTTACAGATCTATACCCCCAGATCGAGAGATTCGAAGTCTGCTCCGCGGCGCTCGTACTTGTCCTGTCACACCTTCTCTCCGGCGACTTTTGAAGTTCAGCCCGCTAAGGCAAAGAAGCCAGCTGCGGCGGCGACGTCAAACCGGCAAAATCGTCGACGACGAGCACCGATAGATCCAGTCCAGCAAGAGACGAAGGCGCCGCTCTAGTTTGCTTCGGCTGCGAAGAATCCAGCAGCAGCGAAGGCGCAATCTGCGAGGAAAGTCCCCAACAACAAGTCCCCAAGGAAGATTGAAGCCAGCAACCGGGAAAGCTCACAAGCCGACGAAACATAGCTCCAGGATATCGATCATTCAAACAGAGGTCACTCTGGTTCACAGACTAGAGCTTTGAATCTAAGAAGCAATTGCTCGCCGGCGAGTTGGTCTTCTCCAATTGCTTCTTCCTTCCGTTTCTCCATCTTGGCGCATCAATGTCGAGGTTTTCGATTCTGCCTCTGTGGCTTTTTTATCCAATTCCCCACCCAGAACGTCGACGGAAGTTCCCCGGAAAGACATATGAAGCCGGAGAAATTCCTGGAGAAGAAATCGGATTACGCGCAGAAGAAAAGAAACTAAATTAAATTTATTTTTATTTTTTAATGAATGTAGAAATGAGGTGGAAATTTTAAATAATTAATTTTTTTATTATATTATTTTTTAATGACCACGTCACACATTTAACGGTCAAATATCAAAGTTGACTGCCACGTCAGCTAAAGTTAACGGATACTAACGGAGAGTGACCAAACTTGGATTGTTAACCTAATTTAAGTGACTATAAATGGAATAAATTAATTTGAGTAGCAAACGTGAAATTTTGTAGCAATTGGAGTGACCAAACTTGCAATTAAGCCTTTTACTGAATTGCTATTCGTCGCCCTAAATTTTAAAAATTATCGCCCTAAATTATATTGAATTGACATTTATACCCCTGACTTAAATTTTCCTAATCCCTACCTCCTTGTTGCGTCCCGCCCACCAGCCAATTGCCGGCCGCCGCCGCTATTTCCCAGAACCCAAACCCGCCGCAGCTCCCATTCCCCGACCCAACTTCGTTCTATCTTCCCACCGCCTACCTCCCTGTCAATTTCCAAGTTAATTTATTCTTCTTCCCAAATCCATTTCCCTTTCCTGTCTCCGTCAAATCACTTTAAACAAATATACTAAAATTAAATAAATAAAGAAAGGGAAAAGAAGGAAGCAGAAGGCAAAGAAACCCCATTTCCCAAACCCGCTGCTTGTCGCCTGCCGCTCCCGAAAAAAGAATTTGATAAGCTTCCCAATCATCTTTTTCTGGGCTAAGGATACCGATGCTAGAAATGGGTTGAGTTCCCGTGTCTGGACTGCTCGGCCCGGCTCTCTTCCCATCGTTGGAATTCATTGATTGATGGTGGTCGGCGGTTGGAATGGGGAAGGAGGGAATGGACCAAAATTTAATGAGAAGTGTAAGAGTGTAACTTTATTATGATTTAGGGCGATAAATTAAAAAATTTAGGGCGACGAATAGCAATTCCCTATGTTTTCTCTCTCGTTGCTCAATCATTGAATTTCACCTACCAGCACGAGTTCTAAAAAGAGACGGGAAGGTATAAGTGAACCCCCCGCAACGGAGAAATTGGAGCCACTGTGATTGGTTCAAAAAAGGACCTCTCCTCTCAGAAGCCTCCCCTCGCCACGCAGTCGAACCGAGAGAGGAGAGAGCCACTCCGTTCCTTCCTCACCACAGCCATGCCGGAACTCACGAAGCTCTACTCGATGCAGGAAGCTTCTGAGCACACCTCGAAGGAAGATTGTTGGATCGTCATTGATGGAAAGGTGTCACTCTCTCAAATCATTTTCCTCTCTGTATCTCTCAATCTCCCTTCAATTTTCAGAACTCTAGGTTTTGGGGAGGGTTCGTTTGTTGACTTCTCGTTTAAATGTTTCTCGCATTGGTCAATTTGATTCCTATCTTGTTGAAATTTCAGCTTCCCAATTTCTGGGTCTGGGGGTTCCCCCCTATTCTCAACTGGGTTTCAGCTTGAACTTCTTTTTAATGCATGTTTTGATTGTGGTGCTTTGCCTTTGGAGCTAGAATTGCTGGGTTGTAGTGAAATTATGCAGTTGTTCCAAGGAACAATCACATTAGGAATTTTCGAGCTTCGACGTTCTTGTTTTGTGAAGAGATTCAAGTTGGGTATTCTTACTATTTGTCACTTTTTCCACCTATCTTGCTCTAGACGACCAGAGATCCCTTACTCTAGTTGACATCAGTCGTTATTTAAGATCTTCTACAACCACTATGCACTCCTAGTTAGGGTTCAATGAATTCAAATGTCTATTTGACATGAATAAGGTGAAAGACTCGCTACTGTCTGCTGGCCAAGCTGGTTATTGGTGCCAAAAGTGGTTGTTTAGCTGCAAAAGCTTTAGTATCTGTGACCTTATACTTATCTGTACTTTCAGTGTCTATTTGATATGATAACCTTCGACACCTAGGTTGGTCATTGCCTCTTTATATCGACCTTTGAAACCAGAAGACCTCTATTACGATGCATTAGAGAACAACCAAGTCAAATGACAGTCTGAAGTAGTTCAGGGCACACCGGATTTTATACATTTCTGTGAAAAACTTCTAAAACAATAAGGAAGAACAATATTGATCCTGATAATTTGCGAAAATAGAAACAATTGATAACCTTACAGATTGGACTGTGTTGCAGTTACATTGGTATGTAATGCATTGTATCAATTGTCAAGTTCTTATGGAGAGTAGTCCTTTCTAATGTCTTTATGGAAAATACCAGGTCTATGATGTGAGTTCGTACTTAGATGATCACCCAGGAGGAGATGAAGTCATCCTTCAAGCAACAGGTACTCCTCCCTCCCTGCACCACTCACATTAATGATTATAACCTGTCCCTTAACATCATGTTAACAAAACTATCGCCTTCTCCGTAATGAAGGGAAAGATGCGACAGATGATTTTGAAGACGTGGGGCACAGCCAAGATGCGAGGGACCAGCTGAAAACCTTCTGCATTGGGGAGCTAGACACATCGACTGCACCGCCAGCCATCCCAGAGCTCAAAATTGTATCCAAAGGCCAGACTTCATCAGACACCGTGAAGAAGCTCAAGGACTTGATGAAACAGTACTGGGTTGCACCTGTAGCAGTAGTTGGCATCTCTATTGTGGTTGGCGGCATCTTGTACTTGCGTAAGAATTAGAGAGGGGAATTCAAGCTTATCCATCAAATATCATGTCCCTATCACTTTCTTAGATTGTTACCGCAACAAAAAATTTGGAATAGTACCGCACAATGATTATTTGGAAAGTGGCTCATCCTAACCATTTCCTGCAGTTTTACATTGTTTTTTACACGATTCTCCCGCAAGTGAGTCATATGAATGAGTGATATGAGGAGCTTTAACAATGGTTCTGATGGATCGTATGATATCTGTTTACCGAATCTCTTGTATTTGCAAGGTATAGAAAAGGAACTAGCTAAAATTTTCTCTCCGGTGGAGAGTCGTGTTATTTCTCCTGCCGACGGGTGGAGTGTTGTGTTGAGTGCAGCCGTCAGTCAGCCTGTTGGTACCGGATTTTGTGGCCGGTGTCCCTGCCTCCTTTAGCCCGTTTAGCTACTCTGAGTTTCCCCGGAACCTAAGATCGGAGTCTTTGTTGAGGTAAGCGAACAATTTGTTTCTTTTAAAGGAGCGTGAATCATGGCGGAGGAAATCGATGCCAACTAAATGTGTGGTGGTAGACAATTCGGCTATTGTGCTAACGCCGAAAAGTGTGAGGATGTACTCACACGGCCCAGATTCGGCCACGTGAGCGGTGCTGGGAAAGTAGGGCGGGGATTGTTGGGTTTGGGGCGGGCTCGTGCAAGAGAGAGGAATGCGGGAAAGTGAGCCGGCTCAGCGGCTTCAGCTGTGGGAGGCGGGGCCCGCCAGATCAGCGATGCGAGACCACTAGGTGAGGGACCAAATTTTCTCTCCCTCCTCACTCCAACAGTCTCGTCATCTCTTCTTTTTTCTTTCACTTCTCTCTTTGCCTCTTTGCCTTACTCTCCTCTTTTCTTCTTTATTTTATTTTATTGGGTTAAAGACACATTTGGTCACTGAGATTATAAAATCGGGACATGTTTAGTCACTAGAAAAAATTAATATCAAATTTGGTCACTACAATTACTAAAACTGGACGCATTTAGTCACTCGCCGTTAGTCTCCGTCCAACTCCGTTAATGAAGTCCGTTAAGTGCTGATGTGGCAAACAGAATTGCCTAATCAGCCGGATATAACCCAACAAAAATAAAACCCGACCCGCCACGTCATTATAACCTGCCACCTCATTAAACCCAACCCATGACCCAACCCTACCCAACCCTTCTTCCTCCTTCCTCCCCAACCCAATTTAGGATTTTTCCCATCCCATAATGGCGGAGAGATCTTCTCCCCGCTCAGCGAATTGAACTGACAGGTCCCTGGAACCCTAATTTCATCTCATAATATTGACGAACGCCATCCGAGTTTCGAAGTGAGCGGAAACCCTAATGGAAGCAAAGGTGAGCGAGAGCGGAAAATGGGGAAGCACATAAATGGGTGGGAGAAAGCAAAAGGGACGCAGAGAATTGTCTCACTCACTCACTTGGCTGGGGAGAAAGGAAGAATTAAGGGGATTGGGAAGTAGTCTATGACTGTGAGGTTGGCTGATACTCATCCTCCTCTGCAAACTCGACGGCAAGGCTCAATTCTACAGAGACGTACCCTTTGAATCGAACGGAGACCGGGGAGGTAACGCCGTCGTCGGGGCCGGGACTGCTGAAGTAAGCCTCCGGCATGGAAGCCGGCACCTCCATCGGGAAATCGGCCACAATATCGGAGAGCGCGCCGGAGTAGTCGCTGAGGAAGGAGATGTAGTTCATCACGTAGCGAGTGAGGGGATGTACGCCGCCGCCGGGAACCGAGATCTTGGATGCGTCCTTGGTAATGGAGTTTTCCAGATCTGCCAGCATCGTCCTCACGGCGTCGCCTAGCTTGATTAGAGAGTTGATTGCTCGATTCCTCACCGCAGCGGTCGATTTGAAGCTGAAATTAGGGTTCCAGGGACCTAACAGTTCAATTCGCTGAGCGGGGAGAAGATCTCTCTGCCATTATGGGATGGGGAAAACCCTAAATTGTGTTGGGGAGGAAGGAGGAAGAAGGGTTGGATAGGGTTGGGTTATGGGGTGGGGTGGGTTGGTTTTAATGAGGTGGCGGGTCGGGTTTTATTTTTGTTGGGTTATATCCGGCTGATTAGGCAATTCTGTGTGCCACATCAGCACTTAACGGACTTCATTAACGGAGTTGGACGGAGACTAACGGCGAGTGACTAAATGTGTCCAGTTTTAGTAATTGTAGTGACCAAATTTGATATTAATTTTTTCTAGTGACTAAACATGTCCCGATTTTGTAATTTCAGTGACCAAATGTGTCTTTACCCCTTATTTTATTTTTCCATTCTTCTTTCTCTCTTGGCTTCCCGGCCCAAGAAAACGCCACCCCATAACTTCAGCCGCCTCCGACGAAGGAAGCGTAAGCCTCCTCAGACGAATATTAAAGCCCCCGACGAAGAAAGCGTAAGCCCCCGAAGAAGAAAGCGTAAACCTCCGACAAAGAGAAGTTGCGACTGCGAGGAAAAAGAAGGCACTGCAGTTTCTCCTCGTTCTTTTGGGTTGGTGTTTTCCCTTTCGTTACTTTTGTCCTCCTTTGGTGCCTCGTTAATCTTATCCTTTTTACGGTTTTGTGAATATGAATTGTGGGTTTTTAGAGTTTGGGGAACGATTTGTGGTTTTAGGGTTTCGGGAACACGATTTTGGGGGGATGATTTGGGGGTTAGGGTTTCGGGAATACGATTTTTGGGGGACGATTTGGGGGTTTAGAAATTCGGGAATTCGATTTTGGGGGACGATTTGGGGGTTTTAGGGTTTCGCGAATACGATTTGGGGGGATAATTTGGGTGTTTAGGGTGTCGGGAATACGGTTTCGGGGGGACGATTTGGGGGTTTCGGGAATACGGTGTTGGGGGGACGATTTGGGAGTTTATGGTTTCGGGTATACGACTGGTTTCATTTTAAACATTGGTTATTTGCTTTGTGAATATTACTGCGGGTATTTGAGAATGCTACTGGTTTTGTTTTGAATATTGGTTATCTGCTTTGTAAATATTACTTGATGCATGTTGAATATAGCGTCGCTTTTTTAAGAATACACCTTGTTTCATTTTGAATATTTGTTCTCTCGTTTGAGCATATACTTCATGCATGTTGAATATTATTGCGAGTATTTGAGACTGCAACTGGTTTGGTTTTGAATATTGTTTATTTTTTTGATTCTTTATTGTTTTGTTTTCTTGCGGCCCTCTGGAATAATGGGTCGGTCGAAGAAAAGGGTTGTCAAACGCAAGACTCCACCAGTTAGCGATGCTGAGATTGTAGCTGATGAACCATACATAGCCGAATCTATTGCCCTTGAGCAGGCTGAGGCTGCTCGTGCTGCTGTGTAATATCCAAACCCGGTCGGGTACTACTTTTACTAAAATGTCCTTGAAAAATAAAATAACCAAATCTTAAATTGCAGCGGGAAAAAGTTCATAATAAAATACCGAAAACACACTCTTGTAGTTCCAAGCAAAGCCCTAACACATAGGCAACTCAATACTTAAAATCTCAAAAGGATCTCCAGTCTATACTCATAATCATAAATGTAAATAATTAAGTAGTCTCTATCGTTGCTGCTACTGAAAATCTTAACTAGGCATCCTCCGTGACGCTTGCACTGCCCTCCTCTAGCTGGCTGCCCTCGAACTTTTTCTCTCGAACTCGCTGCTCTCTAACTGCTCCCCTAGCTAGCTGCTACCGATCTGGTTCTCGCTCATTCCCTTACTAAGGCCTGGTGAGTGAGTTGGGGTCAGTCTACGCCCTTACGTTTTAAACTTTCTAATAATTTTGCACTTCTTCTCAAACACTTAAACTCAAACTGAGGGAAGTTGTTTGTACTTCCATTCTTAAAAATCTTAAACTCTTGAAACTGTATGGGAGTAACTGTTACCCTCCATTCTTAAGGCTTAAATCTCAACTTAAATACTTGACTGACACGAGGATCCCTCACTAGCTAGTCCGGTTGCCAACTCATAAGTATGAGAAGCCACCAAGGCTTTCCTCAAACTTAAACTTATCGCGGAAGGCTCTTCTTCCACGATTCTAAAGAGCATAACTGCTGCTCATCTTAAAAATCTCAAGAGCATAACTGCTTCTCAACTTAAATATCTCAAGAGCATAACTGGTGCCCTATCTGAAAATCTCAAATGGCAACAGACTGGCGCTAGTGACTAAAAATACTTAAAAAGTACTTCTTAAAAGGACTTGTTCTTAAGCTTTAATAATCACTCATAAACGTAAACTTAAAAGTAAGTGATAAACTCATACACCTTCACTTCAAATCATAGCTCAACCAAAGCACATACTATCAAACATAATCATGCAATCTCACACATGAATCAAACACTGCACATACATCACGTAAATCAATACTTTAAAATACTCTAGAGAAATATTTGAAAAACCGTAAGGCGTAGAATTTACCCCCATTACACTCACCTCGAAAAGATGACTCTTCGATTCCTTCCTCGAGGAAACCCCTCCTTAGCCGGATTATCTTGGGGGAAACCTATTAATAAGAATCCATTTTCTTATACGACCGTTCTCGATTTAAAACATCTTTTGAATTGCTAGAACACCCTTTCCTTAAAATCCAGACCTTGAGCCTCGCTCCAAAAAGCCCTTAACCCCCTTTAAAATTTTTCTAGAAATAATCCCCTTCAAAATTGACCATTTTTCTTAATTATTTTTATCTTTGACGAATTTTTCACCTAACTTGAACTTTCTTAAAATTTTGGATAATAATTTTTCCATGTCAATCATGAGCACCTATACTCTGAAAAATTATCAAACCCTTAAAAACTCATTGGAAAGATTTTTATTTAATTAAATCGAATATTAAAATAACTTCTTAAAATAGAAATACATCTTCAAAAATCCCCAATTTAAATTAAAGCCATTTCCTAAACCTCTCTTAATTTATAAAATTATTAAATGCAGGAACAAACATCCACAGAGATTCGAAACAATTAAAACATCCAAAAATACGTTTCTGGAAATTCCTAGCAACTTTAGTGACCAACCAAAATCTGTCACTAAAAGCCTGTAACGCCTGTTGCTAAAAACCCAGAATTGCACCCTCATGAAAAATCACCAAATCGATCGATCTAACTCAAAGGGATCGAGTTCCCTTACCTCTAGAACGTGCCTAGGAATCGATTGGATGGCCCGGGACGTTGAGCTCCTCGTTGATCGATGATCAAACCCTCAAACGTCCCCGCTAAAAAATACGAGCTTCGGATTAGACTATCGATGAATCGAGTTTAGAAATCGCGAACGGGTTCATGATCCTT